GGCATGTACACACACACACTTATGTGCACGCACATGTGCAAGTGTGTGCTGTGCTTGTGCAAAAAGCAAGCCTAGATGCACATAGAGTGTATGTTGTTACTTATCTTGAGCTATGTTTTATTCACTTTGATCTGTGACATGGTTCGTTCCAGAGAGAAATAAGGTCACGTAAACCGGCTACATTACTGCATATGCAGACAGCTGCTATGGGGTGAATGTGTGCGCTTACAAACTGCCTTGTGTCTGTGCCAAGTGTGTGTGTTTATGTATATAAAGAGAAAAAGAAATAGGAATGATACTCTTTCTTTCAAGTTTTTTGTTGTACTGAAAGAAGAACAGTACAGTTTTTGTTGTGTTTACAATAGTGATGTCAGTAATTTGGTTAGATCAGAATAGATAGAATATTGAATCATCCATCTTTGCTCACTTCTTAGTCTTGTTAGCCTTGCTTGCCATCAAGTGTAAATAAACTAAAGGTTATGAACTTTTTTTTTTTAATACAAAAATGTAAAATTATTATTTAAGTGAATTAGCAAGTAATTATTTGTTGTCATATGAATTTTGATTAAAAAAACATTAATTTAGTATTTTTGCAATATTATATAATTACTGTAACATATGGCAATAACAATTAGAGCATGTCACTAATAGATTCACGTTTTAGACTCCTTAATGTCTGAAACTATTTAAAAAAAAAATTAAATTGACTGAGATTGAGAAAATGTTTGATACTAAATGTGAAGTGGAATAAGGATTATACATGAGAGTTACTAACTGCTGACCCTTAGTGGTGATATTAGGTCAGTGCATGAGAAAGGGAAAAATATAAACAGGCCCTCACCTCTGTAGTTGGTGTTCTTCTCCATCAGTATACAGCTTTGATTATGGCCTCAACCTACTTAGAGAGCGGAGCTACCTGCCAATTGATTGTTTGAATATTCTATGTTAATTGAAAAGCCTGGATTTACTTATAACACATTTTCCAAAACATAATTATGTAGTTCTTTATGAAGTACACAGAAATAAAGAATTAATGGCTAAGGGTGGTGGAATTTTATATTTTTCTTAAAGTCAACACATTTCATGAAAAGACCAAAACCAGCAGTGTCTTCATCCATCTCTCAACACTGTCTTACTTCCCTATCCTGTCTGTGGACCACGCTCATTCAGTCACTAAGAACCAGAATCATAATCGGTAGGAAAGTGTTTAATTCAAAAATGTCCTATTTATAGGTTTTAAGGTTTTAATTAAATGTTGAGCAAATAGGAAGAAATTGTGTATTTGTTGTGGACTCACCTTTCAGGATTAATTCACATTTGGTGTTTTAGTGAGTATTTGGGCATCAGGGTAGTGTATGTGTGATTGAGTCTAAATAAACTACAGTGTGTGCGTTCACGGTAATGAAGGAACATGTCAGTGCAACGAGGTGTTTTTGGACAATAATGGAGCTTCTGTGGCACAGAGGAATAAGATCAGGCTTTGGATACACACACAGTAGTAGTTAGTGAGATACATGCATTGTTAGTTTTGGTCTTTTTATGGCATGTGTTATGCAAAATATAGGATATTACCAGCCTAATCCTTTAAAACAGTGAAATAAATAAATTGACACATTGACCATCATTTCTATTCCAAGAGCAATTATGCTTAGTTAGGTAATCTGGTTTTAGTCATGCAGTTTCGTTGTTGTTTGTTTTTGTGCTTTAGATTTTCTTCTTCTGGTGAAATTCTTGTGTAATAATTTTTTCAGGATTTGTGTTACTTAGTTAGCTTCTGAGTAGCTTAGCTGTGGTTTTACTGGCTTCAATTAAACCAAAACTTGTAGCTGTGTGCTAAAGTAAACGCAATTATTCCGTCAAAAGGAGCCAGCTCTTATAGCCAGAGCCATCATATATCTTAATGGTTATAGCTATTGGCTAGATTGTGGGTGTAAGTTAACATCAACTCATCAACTACCATGTCATTATTTTGATATACTAAGTCAATATTTTGAGAAAGTTTCTCATTATAATGACTTACAGAATCCTTTTTTCCCTCATTATATTGGCAGAAATGGGCTTCCATAGAAGTGGGGTTGTACCATAAATATGTGTAGTAAATATTTAGTTTTGTTTCATTGTTTTATTACATTTTTAAAGTTTCACAAAATGTAGAAATATTAGTAATATGGAAACCTGCAACTGTGTTTCCAAAGACATCCATGCAAGCCAAACACTTGTACCCTGCCTGGTCCACCTGGTTATTGCATTTCAAATTATATTATACCCCCTTGTGGTGGATTTTTGTAAGTACAACATCTGGGAGTACTTTTTCCAAATAACTATACCTACATACTTTTCTATCCACAGAAAGTTTGCTTTATTAAACACATAACCACATTGAGTCACTGACAAAAAAGTATAAAATCAATTTTTTTTATTAAAGTTTGAAAAGTTTGCTGTACATTTTTCATCTGAATACAAATTTATTGCTCAAAGTCACACACGCAGAAGCTTTTGGCAGAAAATCCATTGCACTTTGATAGTTTGCTTTACATTATGTTGTGTGACTCATCCATCAGCCACATCTGAAAAAAGACTTGACAAATAAATTAAGACATATGAAGGAAAAGCAACACTCATAATAACAGACAGAAAATGAATGAATGAATGCTTATGAAGACAGACGAATGTAATATAAGTTTAGTGTAAATTGATCATCGTGATTTAAATCAATGAGGGACATCAGATTTACAACATCATTTACTTGCATTGCAACCCTGTGCAGACGTGTCAACACATTCTTAGATTTAAGGATCTCAGTGATGCTACAAAAAGGCTGTGTTTTAATATGGCTTTTACTGACTTAAGACTGGATGAATGTTTGACACCAAGTGGACCAAAGTTACCCTCTTAGATGTACAAGTGGAATTCACAGCTCAACATGCTGCATTTATTTTATACAAATATTTGAGCACTCCCAAAATCAGCTGTTTATTTCTAAGGAGCGTGTCTAAAGTAGTCTGCTGACCTCTCAAGTAATTGTGCAGTATCATAGTGCCAAGCATATGTACTTTCAATTCAAACATTACTTTGACATGTGAAACATTTTTTAGGTTTGGATAATGTGAACTGCTTTTTAAGATACATAACAGTTAAGTCAGATATGTTAGAGTCTAAACATTTTGTGGTTTCATCTAAAGAATATCATTTAGTTTTCTAAATACATAGAACACAGTTTGATACTTCAGAAAACATAACATTAAAAGAGCCAGAGTATAAGCATTGACCTGGTGGCAGTAGAATTATACAAAATCTGAGCTTTCAATTTCTCAGGCTAAATGTAAAATACATCAAAACACAGCCATAGAGTAGAAGATTGTCTAACAGGGTTGGGCGATATGTTTTTCCAACTGGCCACCGCCAGTCAAACAACCGGTAATTGCCGATAAATTCGCACATGCATGTGTGCTGCGCCTGGTTGGAGCCTCTGTGATTTACCTTGTTAATGTATTCCCTGCCGTCAAACTAGTCGAAATAAACCCGCAGTTCATTGTGAAAATATTCTTTGGAGGCAGACCATTAATAAAATGACAAAAATTGCCCTAAAAATTGGCCCAAAAAAACCCAAAACAAAAGACAACTGGTGATGGACTGGAGATAGCGGATATATATCACCCAACCCTATTGTCTAATGAGTCAATGTTTTTTCAGTTAATCTATGGATGACTTAACATTTTAAAGAAGATTAAATCATTCAAATGCAAACATTCAATGTGTTAGTTTCACTAACAAAATATTTCCTGAATACAATCTGGTACCGCTGAAACAGTCTGATACTGTCCCTAGAAACCATGAGGTACATCAGCTTTAAAGCCAATGGAAACATTAATTAGGGTCAGTCTAGCTTTTTGTTTAATACAAATGTATCTCTTTACAGTCCCAATGGAAGACATTCACAAATGGAGAAGTGAACAGACAGTTGTACCGATAGAGAAATAATAGCAATAACAATATCAGACCTTTGTCCAGACTTGCCAGGAGTTTTGAACAGTGCAGCTACTGGAGCCTCGGTCAGCATTCAACTTGTGAATGTGAAACTTGTCATACCAAACAGTTTAAACTTAAACATAATGAAGAAAAAAAGGTCTGAATAAAGTAAAAAAATCATAAGTATGGATTGTTCTTAAGAATAATCTACTGTGCAAATACAAGCATTTGAATTGCTAAGACATCGGTACTAGTATTGAAAACACCCATTGTTTTAAATGTCTTTACAAACAGACTCAATTCACACGGTCCCTCATATTGTTTCCCCCCAAAAATAATATTGTGCCTTACACTTGCTTACATGCTTGGGAGTCCAGTTTAAATCACACTGAGCATGTCAGCAGTACGACACAGAGTGGACTGAAATAAAGTCTGAGAACACTTTCTCTTCCCGACGCCTGTCTCTCTGACCTCGTGGCCTTTTGACCTGCAGGTTCTCCACGGCTACGTCTTATTTGAGCTAAAGTTCATCCTTGTAGGCCGCTGACAGCATGTCTGGGGACGGCGCGGCCCCTTTCAGGGTTTTATGGGAACCCCTCCAATCAGTGCGTACAGAGTCATCATCCCACAGAGTGGATGTCTCTGTGTCACTCACCCACTGGGCGTCACCAGCGTAGTGACACGGTTGGACCAGAAGGGGGCGTGTACTGAAGGCTTGTAAGTTCCTGTTGGGGAAATGGGACTTGTAGTCCTCGCTGCAAAGAGGGAACAGTGATAGAGATTATGTAGATTTGATTTGATTTGAGACTTAAACACAAGATATAACCTCTTCTGTATGGAAAACTGTTAAAGAGTTAAAGGTTTTCCTACAATTCAGTGTGAATCATTAATACCAGTGACATTTTGTGATGTATTTGAAATACACTGATTTGACAAGAGATGGAGACAGAGGCTGATTTTCATAAACAGTTTGGTTACTCTTAGCATGAAGGGCAACAGCAGGACCAATGTGCGGTGCGCGGTCATTGTGCATTCTTAGCAGGCCAGTCAAGCATATCGAATTAGAATCACAGAGGTGAGAGAGAAAGAGAGAGAGAGAACAGAGAAAGTGGGTTGGCTGTAAGCCAGTTTTCCACACATGACGGAGCACACAGACACTGCGAGGCTTTCTGGTTTGCAGGCCCTTCAGCTCAAGGTGCATTTCATCTCCTACAGTCAGCACCATGTGTGTCTCAGTTACTCTGCTAGATTGTAAGTGTGGGATGATGAGAAAAGTCGTTAGGTTAGAGCTAATGTGAGGGATATTAGGGTTAGAAGTGGGGTCAGGGTTACATAATTGCAGCCAAACAATTGAAAAAAGTAAACAAGAGTCTAGAGCCATGTTTGTTCCAAATTTCATTGCAAGGTTTTCTGGGGCCCAACCGCTGGGGGGGGGGCAGCAATACTCATGATACATAGGAGCAAGAGAGAGAGCATATATCGGGACGGCTCATTCACTCAACCTTTTAAGGGGCCCAGCCATTTCTGTGGGCGGGCCTGGTCTCATATCTGTGTGAATACTGTGCTGTCTCTACTGTGTTTGTGGTCCTTGTCCAAGTCTCCATGGCTGAGAGGTCGTGTGGCCTAGGTTCTACCTATTTGGTGACACCTGAAGTTGTTCAGCGTCCTCCTGCACCCATATTATTCACATATATTTTATAATCTTCATGTGTCAGAAATACTGTCATCAATATTTGTATATAATGTGATTTTGTTGGTTTGTTCTGTACATGTAGCGTCTATGGCATGTCTCCCTCCTCTGTGGCTCGTCCTCAGGTTTCTTACATTTTACATTGGGGTGTTTTTTCTCACCCGAATTGAGGGTCTAAGGACAGGATGTTGTACAGATTGTAAAGCCCCCTGGAATTGTGATTTGGGGCTATATCATTTAAATTTGACTTAACTTGGCGAACTATCTAACAGCTGTCACTAAAAGACAAAAATGTGAACCTCACCAAAGTTCACTGGGATTCATCCTCTGGGCACTATGACTGTCTGTACAAAATTTCATCCAATAGTTGCTGAGGTATTTCAGTCTGGACCAAAGTGATGGAATGACCGTCAGACCAGCCAACATTCCCATCCGTCAACCCATACCAATAGCGTGACTAAAAACATTAAAGGAAATGCTAGTTTTATAACAGTTCAGCACAAGTCTGCCACAAACACATCTGAATCCCCTCTGGCAACCACACTGCACCTAAAAAAGTGACAATCCACATTGCCCAAAATCCAGACAATCAATCCCAGAAAGAGATGCTGCCATGAAACCTGTACATCATAAAAAGAAAAATATTCAGAAAGCTTAAAGACCTACTTTGAAATGTGGTGTTCTAATTCAGCTCGACAGAGACTGCATATTAAACTGACAAGAATAGAGATTATGGCCAAAAACGAGAAGTAAACCACAGACTTTACTATAGTTCTTTAATCTACTAACGCCACAAAAAAAACTAGGCTAAATACATAGCATGTATGCACGTTTGGGCAACTATAGGAAAGAATGTTTGGAGCAATTGTGAGGTCAGCTTTAGCTTTATAGATGTGGCAGCACAAGGAAGTTGTAGAGTGCTGAAAGAGTTTTGTCACAGAAGTCAAGGAATGTGAAAATGACTGATAGGAAACATATCATCAATCATATAATTTCACCAAAATATTCATCAAGATCAAAGATTAAAACAATAAAAGTATGAGTGTGAATGCGTGCAAGTGCAACGAGTGACTAGATTCAGTGTTGTCATACATACTTGGGATGTTTGTCATACATGATGGGGAGGAATTCATCGACAGGCAGCATCTTGGAAAGTGGCTCAGCGTTGAGCAGTTTCTGGGCTCCCTGCAGGGAGATGGCATAGGACAGAGTCCAGTACGAGTAGTCAGCCACCACCAAGTTGCGAACGTTCTCCACTGCCTCCTCCTTTCCAGGATTCACCTGCTTCCTGCCCAAGTATCTTTAGCCACAAAGAGAAATAAGAGAGGATGAAGGACACAAACTATAAGGAAGAAGAATTAGAAACAGTTTTAGGTTTTCACATACAAGACATCTGCCTTGGTATATTGGTACATAACAATAAATATGAGAAAAATAAAAATACAGATGAAATAAAGACAATAAAAGAGAAAATATATGCAAATCTAAAAAGGAAAGAAAAAGAAAGAAAAGAGGCAGTGTCCAAAAACATCTGGGTACTGTTCTAGTGTTGCTTTTCTTTGCAGCCATATGGGTTGGAAATCATTTTTAAAGCATTGGGGTTTTTTTGCAGCATTTGTTCTGCATGTGTCCAACCATTTTCAGAGAGATACGGCAACCACAATGCACACAAAAAAGAATGATAGAGACGGCTTTCATTGTGTGCCTGAAGTTTTGTCTACTCATTCCAGTATGATTTCAATTAGAAACATTTGTTTCTTTGTCCTGTGGAAACCTTCATCACAGAAACGCCTGTGCACATATGAATGATGTGCATTCCTGCACGGGAATTTTTCCTTCTGACTTCTGACCCCATTCGTCACCACACATACACACAACATACTTTTAACGATGCTGTCTTGCCTTAACCTGACCTTACCCATCCCTGCCTAACCCTCAACATTAGCCTAAATCCTTTTAAAACAAGAACCACGTGAATAAAATGTGTCCCTCTTACATGATGTCCCAGTCCAGCTCTACTTTCTCGATCTCCTCCATCAGTCTGAGGACTCGCCGTTTAAAGTTAGCCTGGAAGCGAACGTCGTCCTCAAATACCAGCGCCTTGTCCATCTGCATGTCCACCATCTGAGGAGGAGAAGGACAAACATGTGTTGATGGTTAAGGCATAAAGAGAAAAAAACAAAACATTCAAGATTTTGTTTTTGAAAACTAAACTGATGGGGAAAGAAAAGATGGGACAGTGACAAAGAGGGGTGAGACTTAAAAAGGGTCCAGTTCTAGACCAGTTCCAGATCTCCTCTTTTTTTAATAGCAAGGGAAACAATTTTGAGTTTTGGTTCTATAAATATCAGTATTTAAAATTAAGTTTATTTATTTATTTATACTTAAAACTGCTGCAGTGAATACAATAAAACATTTTTTAATTTTTTTAATTGATAAATTGTCTCTAAATTGTCTCCCATCACTAAACTCCCATCGCCTCAAACAGAGTACCTAAATACATTTTTAAAGGGATTTGGATGGTTTTGATAAACAGATTAAGATAAATAACAACTCCAACCCCAACTGTAGACCAGAACGCCATTGTTCTCTCATGTAAGAGTGCAGCCAGCAGCCGGTTAGCTTAGCACAAAAAGCAAAAAGCTAGCCTGGCTGGGTGAATTATCGTTCTTACATTTCAGTTTTTGTACATATTAAACAAACATGGTATAGGATGTTAATTAGTCATGCCAATAACGACTTTCATGTATATATAATGTATAATGTATAGTGTGAGTGTCTTCTCACCTCCTTCCAGATGTAGAAGTGGCTGAGGAAGCAGCCCACCTCTCCTTTGGTTAGGGTGCGTCCAGAGAACGGGTCATAATAGCCCGGCAGCAGGTCGACACCCAGGATCTTAATGTCACTACTGTTCAGTGCACTGCGCACACACACACACACACACACACACATATTATATACCATGAATTAAACAAAACCATGATGCATCTACATTTCTGAAGATATTTTTTTTCCTTCCACCAACCATTCTCCAATCTACAGTTTCTGTCAGTATCTGCTATTCTGGCATTCATTTTTTTATCTCTTTCTCATGGAAAAACAGAAACACTCAACAACATACTAAGCCAGTTGAGTGCTCTTTCCCTGTGAGTGTACTCACTTTCCATCCACAGCGTCCACCACCTTGACGTCAATCTCCAGCTCATTCAGAGAGAATAACATCCGCTCTCTACGGTCAGGACGACGTCGCAGATTAATCAGATATATCTGAGGAGACGAGGACAATGATTATTTAACACATCAAAACTGAAATCATTAACTCCAATCTTTGACTTCTGTAAACAAGTCTATAGTCTGCACTTTATTTTCTGTAAAAATGTAATTCTCACTTCTGAATGATGGAAACAGCCTGAAAGTTGATTTCTTTCATGCTTTCATTATTTAATAGTCCCTTGTGTGACTTTAAAAATTAAATGGAAAGCAGATGTGAAGACAAGTAAGGCACAACACCAGGATTCTGATTAATGCCATTCAAGAGTCAGGGTAAGTAAGTCAAAACAGATAGCCATAATCATTTTAGACCTCAAAGTTGAGATGTTAGGGTACAATGTTTTTTTCACAGATGCTGAGACTACCATGTTGGTCTAGAAATATCTAATATATGTATACATTATATTAATATATCAGAAATAACTCTGAAACAGAGCTACATCCCAACTGGAAAAACAATGGGGTGTATCTTACTTCATCAAAGCCCATGAGGTCTCTCTGCTTTGGGATCGCATGGACAAAGCGTGAGGGCTGCATTGGAGGACCATCAACTGTTTGACAAAGAGGGAACAAAATATAGAAGAGAGCTTTTAACATATATGTGAATAAAGCTGAACCAACACAACATAGTGAATGCTGTTTTTCGTATATTTTTCAGTCTGTGTTATCAGTTTGGTTTGTTTTTATTCTCTGTCAGTATTTGTCTTTATTAATATTAAAATAGAGAATACAGCCTGCTCTTACTCATGGACTCAAGATGGACATGGACAAAGTTGAGGCGATCATCTTCCAAGGAGTGGTGAGGTTTGGCTGGGACGTTCAGGTAGCCGTAGCGCTCCTTGTTACACAAATACATCTGTATCTCTAAATAGGATTTAAAAAATTAATCAATGAATGAATGAATGAATGAATGAATGAATGAATGAATGAGACATTTAAGTAAACCCTATTACTTGTCTTGTTCTCCCCATCTTTTAAGTGGTTGCGATTACAAAAAACATAATCACAAGCAAGTGCTGACGAACCTGCAGCTCGGCAAGAGAAGGCGAACACGATGATGTCGTCGTAGGGCCACGAGTAGTCCGCATGAGGAGGGAAGAAGGCCAGCTTCTTCATGCCTTCCTTCCTTAAATCCAGTAGCAAGGTGGAGTGGACCATGGGCACGGGGAAGCAGCCCAGTCTGTGACGGTGACGGGTGGGGAAATACTCTGCTGTTCGACGATAATATCCCTGAGAGAGATGGATTAGGATGTGTAGAGGGCACTCATAGAGAAATATCAGAAGAGCAACTGCGGTTACTTGTAACACAACCTTTAATCTCGGTTCTGTGAATTTTCTGCCCTATACATTAAAAAAACTAATATCTTCTTAGGGGGGTGTTTTTGCTAAAGAGGTTATTTTCTAGTCCATAATGTATGCAACTCAGTAATGATTGAGCACAGTTGTTCGCATGTATTTCCCTTTCAGTGGATGATTGATCACTATCAGGTTCACACTCACCTGTGGAGTGATTCCACACCAGTAGTTGGAGTACGCTCCCTGAGAGTCTAGCATGGGAGCAATGACTGACTTGTTCTCTGCTATCAGCAGATTGAGGGTATCTGGGTTGGTGAGGATATTATCTGTGTCAGCGTACTGAAACAGAGAGACAGAGGGGACAAAGGAAAGAGAGGAAAAAACAGGAGAGTGACTGTGGTGTTATGTCTCTGGAACAATCAGTGCCAAAATCTTTTCTAGGCTGGAGCAACTGCAGCAAATAGGGAACAAATCGCATCAGATAAATCAAGAGAAGGGGCCTGATATGAATCTTAAACTGCTGTCACAAGAATGATTCTTTTATTATTTACCAGGATGTAATCAGCCCAGCGTTTCCTGGCAAAGTTGAGCACTGCCTGCTTCAGCTTCATCACATACTCATATCTGCTGTTGGGCCAATGCTTAGGACCCAACTCTCCTGCATAGGACCTAAGATAGAGGGACACAACAGACATTACAGTTTATTGCCGTACTGATTTTACTGTACCTTTCCTAAATAAGTTAAGAGGTTTTAGCAACTCTTAAAGAAAATATGGGGTGAATTTATTCACCCAAATAAATGCTATGAATCGTTTATATATATTCTATACACAGCTTAAAATACAGCTAGACTGACAGCCTATAGAGTTCAGTGATAAGCAGATTAGTTCACTCCAACTGTATAACTGACATACACAAATAATTTCCACTAATGGCCTCTTCAGCTCAAACAGATGTACAGAGTTACGCGTATGGACAAGCAGAGGCGTGCTGCATCATTCCTGATTATGTTAAGTGAAAATGAGAGTTAACTGTAGGCAATACAGTGGCTCCACCATGACTAATAAATGAACTACAGTCTAAGAGACTATTAAGGTGTGTTAATAAACTTCACAAAAGACTGCACGGGCAAGAGCAGTGCTTAAAGTGCCGTTTTGGACCATTTGCACATTTATTTGGTTACCCCCAGTTGATAAATTCAACTCATTGCCAACAGAATCGCGCTTCAGGGAATCTGATTGTGATCCTGATGAAATAAAAGACAAAATGCAGACTTACTCCTGTCTCATCCTTCATATTAATGCACCCAATGAAGTGTCCTGGCTAGCTAAGTTTGCTTAGACCAACAGGATCAGGACAGGATGTGTGCCCGGATCACAACTGTAAATAAAGTTCAATAAATTAAATATAGTTGGACTTACGTGGGCTGGTCCATAGGTCTCCACTCAACATAATGGTAATATTTCTGCATGACAGTAAGCCACTCTTTCAGTATGGCTGTGGTGTTATCCGAGTTGTGATCTGTGGCCGCCCTGAGGAGCACAGAGAGAAAGCAGATTGTTAAAATACATGACCTGACCAAAGAACTGATATGTTTAAAAGTGAATCCCAACAAATATTTACAAATAATAACTAGTCTCATGTCTGTGATTGAGTTGCATTTTCTTACATCTTTAAGCACACTCAGTTGATTCAGTGGTGCAGCCTACAGTTCACAGCACACTGTTACTGCATATAGTCCTCTGAAATATGCTTTGGATCTCTTCTCTCACAGAACAATTTCTGAGAAAGCTTCATTTAAAAGAGAAGATGGTCACCACTTTGAAGAGCATCACTAACCCATTCATGTCCACATTAATGTGGAATTTCATAATTCCCTTTGCAGCACTTAAAGTATTAAGCACACATTTTTCAAAAAGGTCAAAAGTATGAGGCTACAGCACAAGATTTTTCTTAAGATACTTTTAGTTGTTAGTCACTAGGGGTTGCTTTTTATTTTACAGGAAACAGCTCTAGAATAATAGCTTAATTCCGATCTTTATAACTTTTTATATACACATTTTCTGGACTGTTACACTATAGATTCAAAAAGAAAACAGTTTTTTCTTGGTCCAGTATTTCCACTGTGGAGACCTAAGAGACATATAATGCACTCTGATACTGGATAAAATGAGTAACCCCTAGTGACTAAATACAGTGTGCTACAGAAATGGCTGTGTCTCAAACACTATAATGGAGTTTTATCACATTGGTACCATTGGATTCAGAACTTTAATTTCAATAATACATGTCATTGATCCAGTGTTAATATTATTGTACATGTTAAATGAATATTAGGGTTATTTTGGGAATTAAAAAAAAAAGGAAAGTCAACTTTGTCTACCAATTAAGGCTTGATAAATATGTGAAATCCAAACATTTTCTGCATGCCTTGAGAGTTTCCACTGCAACATTCGTGTTTCCACCTCTATCAAAAACAATAAACTCTGTGTCCTTAATATACTAAATATAGTCGTTAGTCATTCATGGATTAAATTGGACGAGGCACTAGTTAGTGGGATGTTTAAAGTAAAACGGGATATCACATTGGCACCGAGATAAAGTATTTTGATTTACTAGGTATTTAATTTGCTAAATTAGCTGAAAACACACTCTTATCTAGTTCTTTCATCCATGAACAATTTCTCAATGGATTTTTAGAAAATGTACTTTATCATGATATTGATATTGTGATATAAAGTGTTTTATACAGTGACATATCCTGCACACACACACGCACACACTACTGTGAACACCTACAGCACCTTTACCACCTTTGTGCAAAACACACATCACATTTTTAATGCTACACCATTACTCCCCATTGGTGGTGTTATATGATTATCGGGCTCTGTTTTGTGCTGCAACAGTTAATGTTCTCCTTCTTGGTTTCTTCAAATCAAACTTTGAATACAAGCAGAATAGCTTTTAGATGAGATCAGGGCAACTTTATGACACATAAAGTAACCTCACAGAGCCACATCCTGCTAAACCCCTTGGAGGACAGCTCAGTTTGTGGGTTTTAATCACAAGTGTTAGACACATTTTATAATAAAATCACAGCACAGGAAGAGTATCAGTTAGAAGTAACTCCACAGAAGAGAAAATGTCATGCAGTCCACAGTAGGAAATGAATGTGGCAGAGTGAAAGGCAGCCTGTGCTGTGAAAGGCGCAGAGGGGAACAGGGGAGGGGTAGGACGCTGCTGCTTTCACAAACTAATTTAAATGCCATTGACCTTTTGAACGGCTGCAATCGTCGGATAAAAAAAAAACAGAGCCGTCTACAAACAGCCTGGCAGTGCATGCAGCCCACAGTGTCCATGCAAGGAACAAAAAAACCCACCACACAGAGATGCGATCTTTGGGGTAGTTGAGTCTCTCCAGAGCTCCGAGGTAGTACGGCAGGGAATGAGCAGTGTTCCTGGCTATGATAGCGATAACCACCGTAGGAGGCTGCATTTTCGACTCCTCCGGGTACTTTTCCTCCGAAAAGTAGGAGTCAGCCTGGAAAACCAAGGCCAGTAAAAGTATAAAGTGAAGTAACATGGTGGAGGGATAAGGAAAATCCACGGTGCTAAGGCACAGCACGTAGCCGCTGGACGCGTCAGCAGTCCAAGAAAGAAAAAAAAAATCAGGGCTTTCCCAAATGTTTAACCCCCCCTCCTTATCGTACAAGCTGGCTTGTTTTTTCCAAGAACAAATCCAAACCCTGTCACGAGAGAGGGTTAAATTACAGCTTCCGCTTTAGGCCCGTGGCACAAGTAAAAGTCTGACAACGCCATCCAAAGATGAAGGCGTGATTTGGCCAGGTTGGAGTTCTTTGTAAGTCTCAGGAGACACGCATGGTGACATAGTGGGGAAGCTATGTTTCAGGAATATACAGCCAGAAAACCCCTCTAAACATCCGCTTATCACTGGTTCTGCAATAGATAAATCACCTGTTAATGGGTAAAATATAAGGAAATTCACTGATAGTAACTAGTGATAATACACTGTGTCAGCAATAGTAGTTCAGCTCTTTACTCCCTTTACGTGTAATTTATGGGTCAGACATTTAGACTCCAGTGTAAGGGTTTCCATTCATATTGAGGTTTATAAATACAATTTGGATGAGATATATTGGTGTAGTGTAAAATTAAAAAAAACATGAAGAATACAATGTACATCATGTAGGCTACATGTTCTGGTGTGTTTATTCTGGCAGCAGTTTCAGAGACTCACCAGCAGAGGGAGGTTTTGATCCAAGACCCATTACTCAAACTGAGTGTCTGTCTGAGGCCTTTGATCTCATGCTTTCTTCAGTTAACCAATTATAGTTTCTTAAGTACAGCACTCAAGTACAATGCTGGGGTTACTTTATGCACTTAGAGCCATAAATGGTACTTTTTATTTGGCAAGACAAGTATCTTTACATCATACCAGTCTACATACAAAACATATGATCAATTTAGAAAATATGATGCATTGTTCCATATTAAAGTACACAACAACTTATCTCCAATTCTGTAATAATATAACACGTTAAAAGGTGGCATTCTGCATAATGACTGCAGTTGATGTTTTAAATACTAGGGATGCACGGAAATTCTGTGCTGATACAGTATTTAAAATAACAATTTGACCGATAGCCGATGTTGATACTGACGTTTTTTTGTTGTTGTTCTTCATTCACCCTTTTGTGCCAGGTAACAAAGTCATCTGCTGAACAGCCGCTCGCTGTCTTCGTGCACTGAACTGTCTGCATGTTTGCGTGTCATTTGTGACAGTTCTTATATTTTTTCAATATCAATAATATAAATATGAATAACTAATACCACAACATTTAGTCATTGCAAAATTGATACAGATAAGTAGATAAATATCAGCCACTAATATCTGTGAATATTATCTTATTTGCCAGTAGGCCGATATGAAAAAGGCAATATATTGGTGCATCCCTATTAAATACATTATGCTGATAATACTTATGCACTAGTACATAAGTATTTTTACACTGTAGTATTGATACTTTCACTTAAGTAAAAGATCTGAGTGTTTATTTCACCGCTTGGTTTATCACATTACTGTATATAGACTGCTGTGTTGATGAGTTTTAAAAGAAACAGAGGTTTTTTTTTTTGCTGCTTACCTCACACAGTCTGTGTAGCGCACACGCTTTACTGTACTTTAGAAAGAAAAGACCATTTGGAAAAGGATCACCTCGACTGCCATCCACTCAGTTGTCACACACTTAAAAATATTTAAATAATAATGAAAAATAACACCTACATCAGAATTCTGTTTGTTGATTTCAGCTCAGCATTCAACACAATCTCCCCAGTGAAACATGAAACGTATTGGTAAACCTGACTACCGCACTCTGCTACTGGATATTGGACCTCACAAACTGACCCCAAACAGCTCGGATTGGTGCTCACACCTCTTCCACTCTAGTGCTCAACACTGGAGCCCCACAGGGCTGTGTGCTCAGCCCCCTTCTGTTCACACTGTACACCCATTATTGCATCCCCCAACATGGAGACAACTCTGTTGTGAAGTTTGCAGATGACACCACCATCATGAGCTAGATTTCAAACAATGATGAGACTTATCATATATGACATATCGGGGAGGAAATCAACAATGCTGCAGAGTGGACCGACCTACTGCTTAACTTCAGCAAAACCAAGAAGCTGACTGTTGATTTTAGGGGGAAAGGAGGCAAAGACACACACCCCTGTTTACATCAGTGGAGCTGAGGTGGAGCAGATGAACAGTTGCAGATTCCTGGGAATCAATATCACAGAGAACCTGTAGTGGTCATTTCACATCTCCACACTGGTTAAGAAAGCGCAGACACGACTGTATTTCTTAAGGAAACTTACAGAAGCTTCCGCTACTGTACCACCAGACTTAA